GTTGTCCTTCAGACATCAGGTAGAAATAAAGACCTCCCCAGACAAACAAAAGGTGAGGGAGTTCTTCACCACTAGACTTGCGTTGCAAGAGGTAATGATAGGAGTTCTCCAAACTGAAATGAAAAGACACTAATCAGCAACATGACAACATACGAAAATACTCAGCCCACTCCTAAAGGTGGAAAATGGTGGTATATGAGCCACTTAACTAAAGTATAAAGGTTAAAAGAAAAGAGTATTCAAAATAACTATAGTTACTATAATTAACAAATTCACAGCATAAAAGGTAAATTGTGACATCACACCTATAAAGGGGAAGGAGAAAAAGGGAGGAGACTTTATAGGTGAATGCAGATTAAGCTGCTATCACCATAAAATGGACTGTTTTATCTCTGAGAGGTTTTATGTAAGCCTCAAGAAAATCATAAAGCAAACATCTAAAGTAGGTTCATGAAGGATAAAAAATGGGAGGGAGAAGGGGGGAGAACAGAGCACACCACCATGGCAAATCACCAACTTACAAAAGTAGTCAGAAACAGAGAGAAAAAAAGAGCAGTGGGAATACGAAACAACCAGAAAGCAATCAATAAGATGCCAGTGGTTAGTTCTTACTTATCAATAATTACTCTAAAGATAAATGGATTTAATCAACCAATAAAAAGGCACAAAGTAGCTAGATGTTTCTAAAAAAAAAAAAAAAAAAAAAAGACCCAGCTATATGCTGCCTACAAGAGACCCACTTCAGTTTTAAGAACACATATATGCTCAAAGTGAAGGGATGGAAGAGGTTGTCTCATGCAAGTGGAAACCAAAAGAAAGTGTGGATGTAGGCTGTAAGCCAAAAATGGTAATAAGAGACATAAAACGTCATTATATAATCATAAAGGTGTCAATACATCAAGAAGATATAATACTTATAAATATATATACAACCAATATTGGAAGACCTAAATGTATTAAGCAAATACTAACATGTCAGAAGGAAGAAATAGACAAGATTATAACGATAGGGCACTTCAATACCTAATTTTCAGCAATGGATGGGTCATTGAGACAGAAAATCAATTAAAAAAATTGGAATCGAACCATGCTTTAGACCAAATGGACCTAACAGACATCATACAAAAAAGTAAATTAAGATGGATCAATTAGGTAAACACAGGAGCTAAAACCATAAAACCTTGAAAAGAAAACACAAGTGTAAATCCCCATGACTTTAAGTTAGGCAGTAATTCCTTAGGTATGACACCAAAAGCAAAAGAGATAAATGGAACTTCATCAGAATTAAAAACTTATATTTTAAAAGACACCATCAATAAAACGAAAAAGAAACTCAGAAAACAGAGGAAATATATGTCTAATATATCAAATTGTATATGTAACATGGGCAGTATAGCTCAAAAGATGGGGAATTTCATTAAAAATTTTTTTAAATGTTTATTTTTGAGAGAGACAGAGAGAAAGAGTGCGAGCAGGGGAAGAGCAGAGAGAGAGGGAGACACAGAATCTGAAACAGGCTCTAGGCTCTGAGCTGTCAGCACAGAGCCCGATGAGGGGCTCGAACCCATGAACGGTGAGATCATGACTTAAGCTGAAGTCGGACGCTTAACCAACTGAGCCACACAGGCACCCCAAGTGATGGGGAATTTCAGACTGGTGCTGGAAACTACAAAAAGGAACCAAATGCAAATACTGTGTTCATATATGAAGATAGCAGCAATTTGGAGGTCAATTCCCATGTAGTGAACTGATGGGTTATTGAGCTACGGGGGATCCTTAAGGACAAAGATTAAAAGAATGCAAGGTTATCATGCTGAATGATGGAGAAAGCATATATTCATGAAAATGGAATATCTAGGAATTATAGAAAAACTGAATGATTGGTGTAGTCTGTGCCAGGTAATGTTTGAAGCCTTATATCAAATTTTAGGAGTGATCTTCAAACTTTCTTGAATTTTTAGAGTGTGGTTTTCCTAACAGTATTTAAAGCTGAAAAATAAAAGATTTCATCATAAATGTATATAATAAAAATATGATTACTGGTATATTATAAAAATTGCCATGTAAAAAAGTATAATTTAGTTTTTTAATTCAATCTGAATACATAATAATGACAATTATCCATTTAATAAATATATAAAGAAGCTTTCTAAAAAGCAGTTAGAAACATTAAATAATTTTTTCTCTTTAAACTTTAATTCCACCAGTTTAAGTTTTTATGCTACTCTCCCCACAAAATTAAATCTTAATGTAATGTATTTTTATGTTTAAAAGTCTATTATTGATCTATCATATTTACCTGTAGCAAAAATGGATATATAATTTATTGTATAATTAATTGTAATTTGTTGTAAAATCTTCATGAACATAAGCTCTGAATGTTTAACAACATATTCAAGATTGAGCCATCATTGCAATATTTGGAACAAAATTAATTAAAGAGGCATAAATGTAATGTCGAACATGAAAAATAATTATTAACCAAAAAAACTTTTTTGTTTTACTATAAATGCATCTTGTTAGTAAATAGATCATGCTTTCTTTCTATTTGGATGAATATTACTTTTTACTGGAATGGATGAAAGTCAGCATCCACTTTTTCCCCCAGTTTTTATTTTGAGAATGTAGGGAAGATCTTATTTGCATCAATTGGTAGATGGAAAGTTGGAAGATTAGGCATCAGGTAGATGACAGATAGATAGATAGATAGATAGATAGATAGATAGATAGATAGATAGATTATACACAGAAAGTAGATCACACTTTTTTTAACTCCTTACAAATTATATACCAAAAATTCTTTAGGAAGCTATTATTAAGCTTCAAAAAAGCTTAATTTCAAAGTTCTGTCCACCATTAGCTTGATTCTTCCTGGTATCATTGCTTTGGTAAACAAAAAATTTTAAGTCACATGGATTTCCAAAAGATTTATTACCCAAAGTCTATGATTACTCATCTTCTGAACACTAGCACAAACATTTCAGTTATCCACTGATTTGACACTTGGAGCTTTGTGCACGCTGGGCAATCCATGATTGTCAGATAAAGGATGGGTGAGAGGTTAAGTTTTCTTTTCAGAGTGGGGAAAAGAGAAACTGAGAAAGTGGAGGTAGAAAAGAAAAGCCTGTTAAGAGTGCTCTGATCATGATAATACATACAGAAATCGAGGGTCTAAAAATTGATTTCCTTAAATTCTCAATGCGCACACTTTGGAAATCCTTTTTGTAGCTGGTATCCCACTTTGAAGACTACTGATTTATATTGTGTGACCTCATATTTATTGAGATGAATTATGAACCACGTGTTCTCAAGTTTTTATTGAGCATCCGCCATCTGCAAGGCACTGGTCTAGTACTCAGGACACAGCCACGAACGAGATCAAGGTGTTAGGACTACATGGACATTATGGTGTTGATGATGGGCCATAAATTAGTAAATACTTCAATAATTTAGTAGGAGACTGAAGAAATATACAAAATAATTTCAAAGAGCCTAATAAGAAATAATATAGAGGAGTGAGGAGTGGTCTCATGGCCAAGAATTGTTTCTAAGGAGCTGACATTTGAAGCAAAGATATGAAAAAAAAGTAGTCTAAGCCAAGGCAGACTGGTGGTTTAGGGAGGCCTTCATAGTGAAAAAGATGCCTCTGTGAAGAGTCAACATATGACCTATGTGATGAGGTGTCAGCTACACAAAGAAATAGAGAAGAGCAATTTAGAGAGAAGGTGATCAATTTGTTCTAGTTTGCTAAAGACTTTCTTGATATTGGCACTCTAATACTCAAGGTCTGGGACAACCCTCAGTCCTAACCAAACTAGGATGGCCTGTCAGCCTAATTGGGGTGTGGGGGGTCTAAGATCTATTGGAATAGAGGTCTATTGAAAGGTCAGTGATCTGATGGCCAATATCCAAACAGCAGTCACCGCCACTGGCAACTTGACTTAGACAAAATGAAAAGAATTAGAGGAAAAAACCTTTTTGATTCTGAGACATTTAGGCACCTGAGTCTGTGGCTTTCAGTAGCTTCCCAGACTTAGCCCAACACATTAATAATCAATCAGGTTTGTAGTTAATAATTGCTTCTCTGTGATATCAAAGAGTTGACTTGCTGGCTCACCAGTCATCATACAAACATCACTCACATGGGTGTAGGCAACCCTACACATAACAGGCATTCACGGACAAGGTGAAGATCTGGAGAGGCATGCTGTGAGATCACCATAGTGGGAAGTTGGACTTTTGGCTGGAAAGAACATGGGAAAGATGAGTCGAATTTGTGATGCAGCTTTTCATTTCAGATGCTGCTCTCAAGGCAAGCCCCACTTTCTTTTTTTAAAAAATTTTTTAATGTTTTATTTATTTCTAGGAGAAAGAGAGAGAGACAGCATGAGCAGGGGAGGGTCAGAGAGAGAGGGAGTCACAGACTCCGAAACAGGCTCCAGGCTCTGAGCTGGCAGTCAGCACAGAGCCCGACGCGGGGCTCAAACGCACGAACCGCGAGATCATGACCTAAGTGAAAGTCGGACGCTTAACCGACTAAGCCACCCAGGTGCCCCAAGGCAAGCCCCGCTTTCATCTCTAGCTAGTTAAAACAGTCTTTGTGCAGAATGAGGTGGTTTCTAACTATAACTGGGTTAGTTTCTAGTTGAAGCCTTACACAAAATTTGACCTAATGTTACAGATAGGGAATTAAATTCATAACTTACAATAAAAGGGGGAGGGGTGGACTATGGGAAAGGGAGGACTTGTCTGGAACTTTTTATGTGACTCCATAGGTTCCTTCATATATGATAGGAGTGGTTCAGGCTTTACTAAAGTCAAAATCCTTGTCTCAACCATAAAGGCAGCTCCAAGCTGGTCTTTTTTGGGGGGCGGTGGGTTTGGAAAAATACACACACAAAATGTTTACTGAGACGAATGTATTTTAATACATCAGAGGAAGAGAGATAAAGAATTTCAGCCCAATAAACAGAACCCCTGTGTCTTCTATGCACTTCCCTTTACGCATTTCCAACTATAGGGTAACTCTCTTGGTCTTGGCGGTAGCTTTATGTCCATCTGCATGCCATCCAGTCCCCAGTGGAATTGTCCCCGGTGAAATAACATCAACAGAATTGGGTCTCTGCATTTATTCCCACTGCTTTTCTCCAGTGTCCCATACCCAGAAGAAATGTTAATTAGTTGTACTATCAGTGGTCTCAGGAGAATATGTTGAAGCTCTGGAAGAAATTTCTCTTATACCTCCAGTTGGGCTGACCGTCATTTCATCATTGAACCAAGATACGGGGGAATTAGAAGATATATCCCAATCATTAATATTAATAGTTATCTCTTCAAAGGGCCCAGGACGTGGTGGCATTTTAGTGTATCCGGGATCATCTTTTATGGGAATGCAGCACGTTAGCTTGTTCATACAAAGAAGCTTGTACCTTTCAACATGAAAACATCGTTTTCTGCAGTGTCCGATGTTATTCTTCCAACATCTTTTGACTCCCCAGCCAGCTGCAGAGAATGAATGAGTAGGTCAAGTTTTTAACTCTAACAACAATATGATAGTCATTAATTCAAAATTTTGACACCTATTACCCATCTAGAGCAATTTGACAAATACTTCAAGCCATTGGGAGACTGAACAGTGAAACTGTATATTAAATATTGTTTCATATGCCATCAAGGAAACGGGCTAGGTGGGGAGAGAGAGAAAGAAGGAAAGCAGAAGAACAAAAGAGGAAGAGGAGGAAGAGAGATAGAGAAGGAGACCTATGTACAGTTGATATTTAAGGCAAGGCAAGAAGGATGGAGGGAGCCAGCCAGGGAAGCAGAGAAAGGACAAGCAAAGGCTCAGTCCCACTGCTGAGAAACTGCATCATGTATTGGGAGAAAGCTGGTGAGTCTGAAGTGTAATGTGCAAAGGAGCTTGAGATGAAATGAGCTGCAAGTGGCAATGCCATCTCCTAGTCATGTTAGGCCATTATTAAGCATTTGTGTTTCAAAACACAGTGTGAACTAATTTATTTTATGCTTTACATGGTTAGTTTGGATTTCATGGAAATTAAATTAGGGAAAAGAAAGAATCAGGAAGGGGTGTTAGAAGCTTTGGGTAGGTAAGATATAATGGTGGCTAGAATTGGGGTTTCAAGAACTGTGGAAAAAAGGGCAGATTTAAGACATTGGTTGTTTGGATCTGAGGTCAGAGGAAGATAGAGAAATCAAAGTGCATTACTGCATTGCTGTTGAGGTAGGGAAGATTAGTGGTACTTGCCATTCACCGAATGTTAAACTGAGGAAACAACAAGATTTGGAAGGAAGAGACAAAGGCGGGCTCAAGTATTAGCTTCAGGGCATATTAACGTATAATATACCTAGAGTGTCAAGAAGGCAGTGGGATATACCCAAAAGATCTCAGTAGACAAGTTCGGACTCTAGGTGTAAATTTTGGAATCATTGCTTATGGATATTTAAAACTACAGTAATGGATAAAGTATAGTGAGTTGGAATAACATAAGATAAAAGGGGACCAAGATTAAATTCTGGTGAGTATCAATATTGAGAGCTCAGATAGGAGAAAGAGACTCAAAGAAAAAACCAGGTAAGTCAGAATAAAACAAGAGAATGAAACCCTAGAGAATTAGACTAATTTCTCCAAAAGTAGACCTTGGGAGCAAATTTGAGTATAATGAGTGAATGGAGAGGCATTCTCCTCCATGTGAAATCAGTTTGGAAACACGGTAGTTAGGGAAGTAAGAAGGCCAAAAAGAGGTGAGTTACACAGTTAGTTACCGCTGTGGTTGACTAGAGCATAATCCTCTGGGAAACTGTGGCAGCCATTGTCTCAGAGTTCTCCTTCCTGAGAATGAAAGGAGTGGGAGTATTTATCTGTCACATGACCAGCCAATATTTGATAGATGATCCCAGAGTGAGCTCATAATTCCCTCATTTCTGGATTCTTCTGTACAGGGGTATTTCTCATGCAATCAGCCATGCTTTGGGGAGAACTGCAGCTTACAGATCAGGCTAGGATGCATGAAAATGGTAAATGCCAAAAGGATACAAATCAAGTCGTATCAGATATGACTAGGTTATGCGAGAAGGGAAAGGGTTTCTTAAAACAGTGCGTGAACATTTGTAGACAAAAGTTGAGCAAGATAAAGGCAGAAGTGTCTATTGTGTTTAACATGGTGACTGTCACTGGTAACCAGGAGAGGAAAAGTTTCAGAGTGGGAGGAGAAAAAGAAACAAAAGTGAAATTGGTGAAATGTGAATGAGAGAAATCGAAGTAGCACCTGGAGACAAAACTCTTCAGAAGCTCACTATGAGGAAGAGTGGAGAAATAGAGAGGCTCTTGGAGGACAATATGAAACCAAGGAAGCACTTTTCAGGAATGGTTTGAAGAATGGGAAATAACAGAGCGTGTTTGAAGACACTTAAGAAGAAACCAGTTGAAAGGGAGAGATTAATACAGAATAGGGAAATGAGACAACAGAAGGGCACAGTACTTCCTGGTTGGCAAGGATCAAAATCCCATTTGACAGATTGAGACAGAGAAGGCACGCAACCTCAGCTATGTCAAGAGGGAAAGAGAAGATGGGTGCAGAGGGGTACTCGTACGAATGTTGACCGTGGTAAAAAGAAAAAGTTCTATTTTAATTTTTAATTTTTTTGCTTTGCTTATTTTTTTTTTTTTTAGATTTCACTTATGGCTGGAGTCATATAGTACTTGTCTTTCTCAGTGTGACTTATTTCACTTAGCAAAATCCCCTCTCAGTCTACCTATATTGTTGTAAATGGCACAATCTTATACTTTTTTATGGCTACATAATATTGTGTGTGTGTGTGTGTGTGTGTGTGTGTGTGTGTGCCTTCCTGTCTACTGATGGACACTTGGGTTGCTTCCCTACCTTGACTATTGGAAATAATGCTGCAATAAACATAGGAAAGCATATATCTTTTCAAATATTTTCAAGTATCCTTAGTATATTCATTTTCTTTGGGTAAATATCCAGTAGTAGATTTATTAGATTATATGGTATGTCTATTTTTTAAAATTTTATTTGAGAGAGAGAGAGAGCAGGGGAGTGGGACAGAGGGAGAGGGAATCTTAAGCAGGTTCCACCTTCAACGTGGAGCCCTGACCACAGGACTCACATCCCCCTACCCTGGGATTATAATCTGAGCTGAAATCAAGAGTTGGACGCCCAACCAACTGAGCCACTCAAGCACCCTATGGTATTCTATTTTAAAATTTTTATTTTTTTGAGGAAATCCATATTATTTTCCACAATGTCTGTGCCAATTTACATTCCCACCAGCAGTGCACAAGGTTTCTTTCTCTCTACATCCTCACCAACATGGTTATATCTTGTCTTTTTTATTTTAGCCATTCTGACAGGTGTAAGGTGATATCTCATTGTGGTTTTGATTTGCATTTCCCTGATGTTTGGTGGTGTTGAGCATCTTTTCATGTGACTATTGGAATTTTTTAAATCTTGAAGTGCAGGATAAAGTCATAAGCTGGGAGGGAGAGTCATGTAGAGAAATAGAGCAGGAGAATTAAAGAGAAAGAAAGGTCAGTACAAAATAGCTGTCTAGGAAGGAGGAAGGATGAGCTCACAAAAGAAATATGGTAGGATTTCTAAGCAATCTGATAATTCATTCAAGGGGTGAGAATATGAAGGTAAAATGAAACTAGCCTGCTCCATTTTATGATCATTTATCAGGCAAGCACATATGACCATATTTCTCAGCAAATTGCCTGCAAAGCATAAAGATTAGTGTATTCTAGGCAGAGGAAGCAGCTAGAGCAAAGTTTCTTGCCTCCCCTGGGTCAAGAAACATATTCCTCTTCTCCAATGATTGATTCTCTTATTATTTTACTGGCCCCAATTTACTTTGCTTGTGTGAGAATTTTCTATAAGTTTTAAGTGTAGACATTCCACTTTTTTCATCCAAGACAAACCTCGACATCACTTCTTCATTCCCTGTTTCTACAAAGATTATTTCTCAATTTTTCTTTTCCTCTAGGATATCCATTCCTGAGTCCCCCTCATTCAACAAAGTGTGAGCCCCTAACTATGATACAGACTTTATTCTAGGCCCTTATAGTACATTTGTGAACTAAGCAGACACAATCACATAAAACTTAATTTCTAGCAGAGTAAGACAGACAATGAAAACCAATTACTTTATATGTAAGAATGTGATAGTGGTTTGCAGAAGTGAGAGAGAATAGATTTCAGCAGAATCTGTTTGGAGGGTCATGGAGGCAGACTGGCAGGTTTTTTTTTTAAATTTTTAAAAATGTTTTATTTATTTTTGAAAGAGAGACATAGAGCATGAGCTGGGGAGGGGCAGAGAGTGAGGGAGACACAGAATCCGAAGCAGGCTCCAGGCTCTGAGCTGTCAGCACGGAGCCCAACGCAGGGCTTGAACCCACAAACCGTGAGATCATGACTTGAGCCGAAGTTGGATGCTTACCCAACTGAGCCACCCAGACGCCCCTGGCAGTTTCTTAAACAGCACTTAGCATCGGGCTTGAAAGAAGGTGACAGTTAAACAATGATTTGGAGGAGGTAAAGGAATTAGCCACACTAGTATCTGGGGCAAGTGCATCTAAGCAGAGGAAACAGACAGAAGCCTGGGCTGAGCAAGCCAGGCATGTTTGAGGAAGAGCAATGAAGCCAGTGTGGCTCCAGTGAAAGGAGCAAAGACTAGAATAGCAGAAGATGAGGTGAGAGAGGTCATAAGGGTCAGATCACAGAGAGCAGGTGAGCCACTGTTGGGACCCTGGTTATTGTTCTGAGTGAAGAGGGGGCCATTGCAGAGTTTTGAACAGCAGAGGTGCATTATCTGACTTCTGGTGGGAGTAGGTTGTACTGTCTGCTATCTTGACAGCAGATTGCAGAAGGCAAGTGTAGAAGGACAGATGCCTGGGAGGAAGCTACAGCAGTAGGAAGTGGGAGATGATAGTGACTTGAACCAGAGTGGTAGCAGTGGAGGTGGTGAGATTGGTTGGCTCTGAACATAATTTGCCAGTAGACTCCCTGATAGATACAAATGTCACAGGTAAAAATACCAAAGATAACTCTAAGAATATGGCTTAAGCAATGCGATGATGGCCATTGGGAACAATCCGTAACTGAGTGTTATTTTTGTCTAGAATGACAGCAGTTTTTGTTTTTTTCTTCAAAGGTCCTCAGTCTGGAATTATGTTGTTAAAGCTTGTGACCTCCATCGCCAGCATCTCAAAATCATAAAACTAAAGACTATGAATAATAAGCCATTTGCCAAAACATTATGCCATATGTGAATTCTGTCTAAAACATACCAGATGCAGAATCAGATGGCTTCAAGTTAATTACAGCTATTGACATTGATGGATATTGATGGACAGTTTGGCTTGGTAAAAAGTTACTTTACAAAACCACCAGATGCTGAGGCACCTGGGTGGCTCAGTCGGTTAAGCATCCAACTTCAGCTCAGCTCATGATCTCACAGTTCGTGGGTTCGAGCCCTGTGTTGGTCTCTGTGTTGACAGCCAGCTCAGAGCCTGGAGCCTGTTTCAGATTCTGTGTCTCCCTCTCTCTCTGACCCTCCCCTACTCACGCTGTCTCTCTCTCAGAAATAAATAAAACATTAAAAAAAAATTTTAATTTTAATTTTTTTCGGACACAGACTCCGAAATAGGCTCCAGGCTCTGAGCTGGCAGTCAGCACAGAGCCCGACGCGGGGCTCAAACCCACGAACCGTGAGATCATGACCTAAGTGAAAGTTGGACGCTTAACCAACTAAGCCATCCAAGCGCCCCAAACATTAAAAAATTTTTAAAAAAATCCCACCAGATGCTGTCTTACTTGAAAATACAAAAATAAACTCAAATACATTAAATAGTTAAATTTCAAAATGGAACCTGTAAGGGAAAACCTATAAATCAACAGGAATAAAAGCTAACTCCCCAATAAAAAAGAAAAATAGGCCGAACCACACAATTTGTAGAAAAATTAGAAAACACAATAAATATATATAAAGTTTGACTTCTCCATACTGAATGAAGTAGAAACAATTACCTCTTTAAATATGATCCTTCATTTAAAAATTTTGATTTATGTCTGAGAATGGTTCTATAGAACTAACTTGTATATGTAACATAAATATACTTATTAGCAAAAATAAGGCCATAAATGTCCAGTCATCAAATTGGATAAGTAATTTGCAGAGCATCCATTCAATGAAATTTTGTGCAGTTTTTGAAAATTCAGTTGTTGGAAAATAATATATGGGAAAATACTAATATTATAATAAAAAATTTAAAAGTAGGCTACACATTTTTATTCACATGGCATCCAAGGAATCTGAGGGAGAGCAACAGAACAGAACTTTATTTTTACTTCTTTACTACTTCAAAACTTTACAAAATGTCAGCAAATAGTTCATAATTAGAAATTCACCCATCCTCTTTAAGTCCTATGCATCCATTAATAACAATAAAGTAAGTTTCTATATTGATAAGAAATCTCTAAGACATATTAGCTGAACCTTGCAGAAGAATCCATGTGGTTCATTTACACTGGGTTTTTAAAAATCTAGGATCTATCTATCTATCTATCTATCTATCTATCTATTATCTATCTATCTATATCTTCTAGGATATACAAGTAATTGGTATGATTGATTGGTTGAGGGAATCTGAAAGAAAGATTGAAGAGATGTTATTCTAGGATAAGTGAGTACTTAGACTCATGGAAACCTATCAAGCGCCTGATACTTTGCATCAATTGCAAGTATTACTCTTCAATAAAAGTGGATAATTTTCAAAAGTGGCATTACTAAAAAGCAGGAATGAGCCCGTTCATATTGATCTAATACGAGAAGCTTACATTTCACTGGTTAACACTGGTTAGTAATAGAAAGCCAGGAAGAGCTGCTCAGAAGATTGTGGAAATTCGTGCCTTTAGAGAAATGTCTTGGAAGATACCCCAACATGGGGCTCCTGGGTAGCTCAGTCAGTTAAGCATCCAACTTTGGTTCAGGTCATGATGTCACTGTTTGTGATTTTGAGCCCATATCAGGCTCTGTGCTGACAGCTCAGAGCCTGGAGCCTGGAGCCTGGTTCAGATTCTGTGTTTCCCTCTTTCTCTGCCTCACCCCTGCTTCTGCTCTGTCTCTCAAAAATGAATAAACTTAAAAAAAAAAAGTCACGGCCAAGAAGATTAAAAAGAAGATACCCCAACATGATAGGTGCCTCCAGCAGAGTCTTAGGAAGTAAGGATATTGAACTCCCATCATGAGAGCATTTCTGTGGTTCTTCATTGGCCCAAGGCTTTTCCTGCAGACCATCATTTCCCCTCAAGACACCTGAAAGCTCAAGGTCAACGGCATCCTAGTTCCATTGTGCCTACATTCTAGAGTTCCATTACCTTTGGTCACCGGATTTAGGAACCCACATATAATGAAGGTCAGCATCAGGAGATTCATGGCTTCTGGCAGAGAGGGAGCTCTGTGTCCTGAGGAATCCAGAGCCCTTTGCCCGGCTAGGACTCTAAATAGTCACCTTTACTTGCCTATCATGGGTGGTGAACCAGAAATGGGGAGAATGCTATGCCATCCAGAACACCAGACCATTAACTTGCACCACTGAGTGTGCATGACAAAATCATGCTCTGTTCTAGAACCTATTAAAGGAAACTGAGGCCTTGTGAAATGAGTTATAATCCTGAGGAAATATAGGGTCTGATGGAAGAAACAACTCCCAAAGGAAGTTGTTCTCCTTAACCCTAGATGGGGCCAATTACTTCTCTCTCTCTCTATAGCACCATATGTATACACCAATAGTAGCAGAATGCTACGTCAAGATTCCACTTATTTCAGACCAATACTTATGACTTCCACTGGAGTATCCTCCTCTCCATCTGAACAACTGCCAAATCCATCTTATATTAATTTTTGTATGTTAGGAAGTTTAGTTTGAGATAGATTTTTTTACTGTGCATATTCAATTTTTGCAGTAATGATTTATTAAAAGTACTATCCTTCCTCCATTGAATTGCTTTGGCACCTTTGTCAAAAGTTATTTGGCCATACTTGGTTCTCTGTTATGTTCCATTGGTCATATGCTCATTCCTCTGCCAAAACAACATACTCTTGAGTACTGTAGCTGTATAATACGTCCTGTGATAGTGTACTGATTCTTCTTGCTGTATTCTTATTTAAAAAAAAATTTTTTAGCTCTACCAGTTCTTTTGCCTTTCAATAAAAATCTTACCATATGTTTGCACATATAGGCGGATTAGGAGAAACTTAATGGAGGACTGTGGGGGAGAAGAAGGGGAGAAAATAGTCGGGGAGAGGGAGGGAGGCAAACCATGAACAAATCTTAGAATAGTCTTATGTATATCTACGAAAGATCTTCTTGGGATTATGATAGCAATTGAGTTATACCTGTGTATTAGTCTGGGGAGAAGTGACTTCTTTGTTACCTAGAGTCTTCTAGTCCATGAACATGTATGCCTATGCTACTTCATTTAAGTGTTTTTAAAATTTCTTTCTTTTTTCTTTCTTTTTAATTTTAATTTTAATTCCAGTATAGTTAACATACAGTGTTATGCTAGTATCAGGTGTGCAATATAGTGATTCAACCATCCTGTACATTCCTCAGTGCTCATCAAGATAAAAGTACTCTTAATTCCCGTCACCTCTTTCACCCATTCCCCATCCACTTCCCTTCTGGCATCCACTAGTTTGTTCTCTAAAGTTATGAGTCCGTAGGGTGCCTGGGTGGTTCAGTCAGTTAAGCGTCCAACTTTGGCTCAGGTCACGATCTCACAGTTCATGAGTTCAAGCCCCACATCAGGCTCTGTGATGACAGCTCAGAGTCTGGAGCCTGTTTTGGCTTCTGTGTCTCCCTCTCTCCCCTGCTCACACTGCCTCTCTCTCTCTCTCAGAAATAAATAAAAACATTAAAAAAAAATAAAGTTACAAGTCCATTTCTGGTTTGTCTCTTTTTTCTTTGTCCCTTTGTTTTATTTCTTAAATTCTGCATAGGAGTGAAATCATATGGTATTTGTCTTTCTTTAACTGGCTTATTTCACTTAGCATTTATTTCTTTCATCAGCGTTTTGTAGTTTCTAGAATACAAGATTTGAAATATTGTTCAGTCTACACCTAAGTATCAATACTGTTAATTTCAACATTCACGTAAGTATAATTTGATACTTTTAATGTCAACATTCACATACCTTTACTAGTATTCAGCAATACAATTCATTTTTATGTGTTGATTTTGCATACTAGACCTTGGTCAACTCAGTTATTAGTTTTAGGAGGGTTTTGTGTGTGTGTGTGGATTCCTTGCCTTTTCTATGTAAACTATCATGTCAGCTGCACATAGGGATAGTTTTCTCTTTTCCTTTTCAAATGTTATCTTTTATTTCTTTTTCTTGTCTTATCACATTGAGTAGAATTTTCAGAATACATTAAATAAGAGTGGCAAGGGTGAATATCCTTGCATTTCTGCAATTTTAGAGATATTCATTCTTTTACCATTAAGTATAACATTAGCTGTAGGTATTTTGTAGATTTTTTTTTTTTTTTATCAAGTTAAGAAAGTTTCCCTATGGGGCGCCTGGGTGGCTTAGTCGGTTAAGTGTCCTACTTTCGTTTAGGTCATGATCTCGTGGTACGTGGGTTCAAGCCCCGTGTCTGGCTCTGTGCTGACTGCCAGCTTGGAGCCTGGAGCCTCTCCAGTCTGTGACTCCCTCTCTCTCTGACCCTCCTCTGCTCATGCTGTCTCTCTCTCCTAGAAATAAATAAAAAATTTGAAAAAAAAAGAAAGTTTCCCTACATTCTTAGTGTTTATTTTTAATGTTTATTTATTTATTTTGAGAGAGAGCACATGTATACGGCATGAGTCGGGGGAGGGGTTGAGAGAGACAGAGAGAGAGAGAGAGAGAGAGAGAGAAAGAGTGAGAGAGACTCCCAAGCAGGTTCCACACTATCAGCACAAAGCCTGATGTGGGGCTTGACCTCACAAAACATGAGATCATGACCTAAGCCAAATTCAAGAGTCGGATGCTCAACTGACTGAGCCAACCAGGCATCCCCATTCTTAGTTTTTATCATTTATATATCAGTTGATGGGATCATTTGTTTTTTGTTTTTTGTTTTTTTTTTTCTATTAGCCTGTTGATTTGTTAGGTGAGATTCATGATTTTCAAATATTTAACCACTTTTCATTCTGCATCAAATCCCACCTAGTCATTACTTTAATTCTTTTTATATATTGTCCAATTCCATCTGCCAATATTTTTTTAAGCTTTTTTTTTTGAGAGAGAGATAGAGGGCACAAGTGAGTGAGGAGCAGAAAGATAGAAAATCCCACTAGAGGCAGAGAGAGAGGGAGGGAGAAAGACAGAGGGAGAGAGAGTAAGAGAGAGAAATGGGGCTCACTCAAAGTGGGGCTCGTGTTTTACCCGAAGCAGGGCTCATGCTCACCTGCAGCAGGGCTGGAGCTCACCCAGTGCAGGGCTTGAGCTCATCCAAGGCGGGGCTAGAGCTCACTGGAAGCAGGGCTCAGTTCCCAATGAGGGACTTGAACTCACAAACCGTGAGATCATGACCTGAGCCGAAGTCAGATGCTTAATGACTGAGCCACCGAGGTGCCCCTGCCAATATATTTTTTTAACTGAAATAATTGTAGACTCACATGTACTTGTAGGAAATAATTTAGAGCGATCCGGTGTGTCCTTTATCTCCTGTCCGCCAGTGGCCATGCCTTGGCCATGCCTACAGTAAACCTGTAGTACTATCTCAACAACGAGGGTGTTGACCTTGATGCATCCCACCAATCTCATTCTGATGCCCCAGTTTTACTTGTAATCATTTGTGTGTACATGTGTGTGTTGTGATGGTATGCGTGTTTGCAGTTCCATGCAGTTTTATCACACATAGGTTTGTGTGTCCTCCACAACACTCAAGATACAGAACACTTCCATCATCATCAGGGTCCTGCCTTTCATGCACTTTTGGCCTTGCCAAAAGTCAGCTGGGCAAATTTGTACGTTCTATTTCTAGGTTCTGTAATTTGTTCCACTGATCCCTCCACTAATACGGCACAGCTGTATCTAAGCCTTGATATCGGATGGAATGATATCTCCTACTTTATACTCTGTCAGGATGGCTTTAATTACTCTAGGGCTGATGTTCTTGTGGGTCAATTTTGTAATAAACTTGTCTATGTCTACAAAAATCTTGTAGATTAGATAAGAATTTCACTAAACCTTTAGATCAATGTTAAGTCTTCTAATCCGTGAACACAGTATGACTCATTGCATAATTAGGTTTGTTTTGCTTCCATTAGAATTTTGTAATTTTCAGCATTCAGATCCTAAACTTGTTTTTCTTAAGTTTTGTAAATGTCTTATTTATTTCTGAGAGAGACAAAGACAGAGTGTCAGCGGGGGAGGGGCAGAGAGAGAGGGAGACACAGAATCCGAAGCACGCTCCAGGCTCTGAGCTGTCAGCACAGAGCCTGACGTCGGGCTCAAACTCAAGAACTGTGAGATCATGACCTGAGCCAAAGTCAGACGCCTAACCAACTGAGCCACCCAGGCACCCCTAAACTTGCTCTGTTAAATGTATACCTAAGTATTTCATTTATTTGGGCGTGACTAAAATTACTACTGCTTTTAAAGTCCAGGTTCTGTAAGATTATTGCTAATTTATAGAAATGTAATTTACTTCTGAATAATTTTTTAAGCAAACAAACATTTATTTAGGCCATTAGAATTGTAATTCAGTATTCACAGATTCAGGTAGAAACCTGAATTCTTTTGTGTCTCGTGTTTTATTCTGCAACCCAGCTGAATTCACTGGTCGATTCTTGTGGATTTCTTAAATAGATTTTTGGGGGGATTTTCACCTAGATAATCATGTCTTCTGAAAATAGGCAGCTCTTTTTTCCTTTTAAATCTATATGTCTATTATTTCTTCCTTTATTGTAATGATTACAACTTTTAGTAATGTTGATGTGAAAGCATTTAGTCTTTGATAACTAAATATTAGGGATTTATTTTATAGATGTTCTTTATCAAATTGAGGTACTTCCCTTCTCCTCTCCTGCAAAGGATTTTTATCATGAATTGGTGTTTTGTAAAATGCTTTTTCTCCAACAAGCAATATACTCATTATTTTCTATAATTTCCTTATTGATGTGGTTACGTTGATTGATTTTTTTTCTTTTATATTAAAGCAGTCTTGCAAGGAGAATAGATTCTCCTTGGTCCTGGTGTATAATTTTTTATACATTTCTGGGTTCTATTTGCTGATATTTTACTGAGGTATTTGCATGTAAGTTCATAAGAGCATTTGGTCTGTGGCTTTCATATTTATTTATTTATTTATTTATTTATTATTATTTTTTTAATGTTTTATTTATTTCTGAGAGAGAGAGAGAGAGAGAGAGAGAGAGAGCCAGCATG